AGATCATTGCTTTTTCGGGGAATGTTCCATCTTGGAAAAATGTGTGGTTTACGAGGTTTTTTTACAGTAAAGTAGTAATCTTTTCCCGATCTTTTATTTATTTTGAAAATGATTTGTGTTTAACTTGTCCGCTGCATGTTGAAGTTATTTTTTATGGATATACATCCCCTGCAGCGGAAGAGTTTTCTTTTCTGTAATTGGTCTTTTATAGCAATATTTGTACAAGTATTTGAACGTTTTTCAGTCCATTCAATTGATACACAATGGACTATTATTTAAAATTTCATTACACAAAGCTCAACATTGAATTATTCATATGGTGGCCACGCTCCGGCTGAAATACAAATGTGTGGAGCGTGCCGGTGACCACCTTATGAAAAGTACTATAAATAAGAATGGGTTTTACCCTGCATGGCAATAAAACAGGTGTGTTAAGATGTCCAAACAGCAAATAGAAACCTTTTGCAAGAAATCAAGTACCGCATTAAACACACGTACTTGTGGTGAACATGCAAACAAACATGCTCTGATAATAAAATATGGCATTGTCTTTAAAACTGATTGGCTTACATCAGAGACAGCCTTCTTTATGGCCTTGTCTCACCAGTGTCAGACCAGAGAATGCCGAAAGGTGAGACAATGCCCGTATCAGACCATGTATAGCTGAGTGAGCAGCCATATCTATTATGTGTTTGAACAGCTAAAGCTCCTGTTTATTGTCAGAAATGGGCAAAATCTATTCTTATTTTTCATACTTTGATACTGGCAAAAAGAGTTCCCATGATAAGTACTAAAATCAATCTTGATTCGAGCTTTCGTGACTGCAGGAATTCATACTCTTTATTTCTTTCGGTAAAGTCACGTAGGTAGAAAAAATACAGAAATAACTAAGAGTACTAAAATCTAGTTTTGCTGTACTATGCTTTGTTTTTCAGCATAAACGGACAAATTCTGGAATTAAAACTATTGATACTTTGGAAGCTGACTCACTGGGGAATGCATTGACATTCTCTGACTGCCTTTCATTTGATGGGGATTGATCTTTTGAGAATGACCGTGATGCTGTGATTGTATGTGAACGGATTTACACATTTTCAGAAAAATGCAACGTGGCGGTACATGGAAGTTTGTGGTATAAGCTGGCCAGAAGTATAGAAATAAATATAGTATCGTGGATATTAGCGAGTTGCTATGACAACATCCTGTAGGCTAAATTCAAATTATAAATTAGAATTTCCCCACAATAGTTAATTTAAGAGGCTCCTACAAACCTTAAAAAACCTGTTCTCGCTTTTAATAGGGCACTGAATCAGCGACATTCTATTTTGTCTGGTTTGAAAGCCTGTAAAGCCTTGGGCTAAATTCTACTTTTGCATCAAATGGAAAAACCCACAGCTCATTACTTACTTACAGATATCTGAAAATGCTCATGAAAAAAATGGAATCTTGAGCTGCGGAGAGAAAAACCTCTGATCTGTTAATGCTGTGTGACCGACTTGCACTGGCAGGAGCCCGTGGTTTAATGAGAAGGTGGAGGGGACCGGAGGGCAGATTTATGTTCAGCGTGCAGCGTAATGAAGGCGCCATGTGTGTGCTGAGTGTGTGTGTGTGGGGTTTGTGTGTGTGTGTGGGGGGTTCGCGTGTGTGCTGAGTATAGGGTTTGTGTGCATGCTAGGGTTGTGTGTGAGTGCGTGCGTGAGATATTGCAGTCATGTCGACACAGCAGCAGCCAAGCAATAAAGCATGCCCGTTAGCGTGTGCGCATGGCCGGCGTTGGAATAATTCACTTTTACCACAGTATTTACATTACCATCTTAAATAATAAAGCCACGGCCGCAGCCAACACAGGAGCTCGCTGAACGAGGAGCTTTTGGTGAGGCAGCACGTGGCGGTCCCATCAATACGCGCAAAAGCAGCGGCAGGGCGTGGGCCAGCAGGTTGTGTTCAGGATGTTCTCTTCAGAACCTTGATGAATTTTCCATGCAGACTTCAGCTTCTGTTCAAGTTATTTAATTCCCCTTCTTTCACTCTGCCTTGCGTGCTCCCTCGCCATTTCTGACTTTTTCCTCTTTCCACCCTTCCCCTCTGTAAATCTTTGCATTACCCCCCTCCATCTCCCTACTCTTCCTTGTCCTGGTTTCTGTCTCCCTTGAGCTCATTTCCGTAATCTTCTTTTTTGGACAGGAAACCTTTAGATTTGTTTCAAGAGATCCCTGGTTGAAATTTATGACTAATTCATTTTGAAACCTCCGTGTAACGGGAGGAAACTAGATGCCCTGAAAACCCACGCTTTCAGGGAAGAACACTCAAACTCTCGACAGAATAGATCCGCTCTGCACTTGCTGTAATGTTTCCTGCAGTCGCTTGCTGTCCTACAGCTGGGTGTTCCTCGCACGTGATTATCCACCGACTACCATCTTCACAGCGGTGCATTGCAGGCCAGAATTGCCACCATACCCTTCGCACGTCCATCTACTGCTCATCTTCCTGTAAAGACAAGCGAATGAAATGGGCACAAATGTAGAAAGTGAGGAGGTGCCAGTGAGAGTGAGGAAGTATGAATGAGGAGTTAGCAAAGCTGCAAAGAGATGGAACAGTCAGGCTATTGGCCTTGATTTGGGGCTTGTCTTGTACTTTTAGTCATCGTGGCAACAGGGCCTCTGGCCTGGCCCAGACTTGCACTCCAACCGTGGCCACTGCTTCTCACTGGAGCTGTGTTCCACTACTGGGGGGGGGGGGGGGGGCGATGGAGAGGTTCTGCATTCTGCCGCCAAGGCAGCGTGTGTTTAATTAGCCGGGTTGAGGTGAAGAGCGCTTGCATTTTGAGGCGGTAGCCTGCACAGGGCCTATTTATTTAGTTGAGTTGAAAAGCTCTTGTGCCATCCGGATTTGCCCACAGATTTTAATTAAAGCTGCCTTTCCGGGGCCCGTCTGCCTGCCGCTATGGTAACCGCTGGGTTGTGGGCCGCGCCGTGCTGGAGCCTGTGGTAAATCTTAGTGTGGAGCCCACGGTAAATATGTCTTGAACTAATAGTAAATTTCTATCTAAAGCTCGTTGTAAATCTGTAACGAGCTAATTGTAAATTAGAGTGTGGAGCCCATAGTGTTTCTATTTCTGGCGTTTGTGGTAAATCTGGATCCAATTTCGTATTTATTTCCCTGAGGGGCAACATGCCAGGAATGCTTTGCCTCAAGAACCTGCCACATGAGCAGCTAATGCTCCAGGTCTGTTGCCCGGCTGTGGCGAATGCGCCATTCTCACTGCTCGTGCAGTCGGACGGAATGACAGGCAGGAGTGACGCAGTGGCTCTCTCTCTCGCCTTCTCAACAACCCCCATGCCTGGAAGAATGTTAATTTTTTAACTCAGACAGTGGAATTCATTATTCAGGGTTGTTGGGATTGGCGTGGGAAAAATGTATATTTGTGCGTTGTTTTTCTTTTGCCGTTTATCGCAACTTGCTCGTGTTAAAGAGAGTGTTTCATTTGATCTTGAGAAATCAATCGAAGGCACTGTCAAGACCGATAAGGCAAGGAGGAGGTGATGATGGTGTCTGAGCGCGATAGTCATGCTCACGAGTTGGAGGCTTGGTGTTGGGAGTGAGGAAGAAAGTGAGTGGATGGTGATTAGCTTGAGGGTGTGTAACCGATTGCACCGAGAGGGGGAGGGGAAAGTCAGCAATCCGTACATTTGCTCATAAACTTTCGAGATAAAAATGGCCACACATTTCGGTTTATCACCTCTGTTGCAAATTATGCTTCTCACGGGCAGATGCCTGCAGTCCGTGAGCGTGCGCATTGCTGCTTTAGCTTCACTCTTTAACCCTGCCGCTTTTACACGCTGCACAATTGTTTCTCCCCTCTTGCCCCAGCTCCTTTTTTAAGGGAGTCATTAGGCTGCTTATTTCTATGCCTGGGAAGTATTATGTCCCCATGTCCATCCAAGCACAGTTCATTTGTTTTCACGAAAACTACAAAAGCCTCTTAACCCCCGAACTAATTTGCAAAACCTCTAAGTAAAATAACTGCGAAAATTACCATTTTATCTTGTGCGATTCTCTGTGTAGTTGAAATGCTTTTGTGTGCATTAAAAACTTTTTAAATGCATTATTGCAAAATGTTTCATGTTTGGCTGTTTATCAGTGCACTCGGCATGTTATAATTGTGTGTGCATGCCTAACAAAGCCATTCAACAATAAAGACACCCTTCCGTGAGTGACTGGCATACTTAATTCTACGATTTACCCTCAGTTACCTCCTTCCCTTCCTACCCCCTGACTCTCATGTCAATGCTGCTGAACCAGGCTACCCCTTGTAAGATGTACGACTTTTTTCTCAATCCACTGCTGGAAGAGTGGCTCACCCACACCACGTGGGCCACGTGGCTTTTTTGACTGTACTGTACCATGATGGTCAGTGTGGGTTGGTTGTAAGCAGGGGGTATAGACGTGGGAGCATAGGAGAAGTACAGCGCAACAAAGGATTTCACAGCATTGCCCTTCGTTGCCCACCACAAAGCTCCCTGAAGCCTGTTGTGCATGGTGGTCACCCATTCAAGCACCATCCAAGCTCAAGCCTGCTGAGCTTATTACATCTGACAAGATTGGGCACTTGTCCGGCTGATTTCTTCTGAGGTATACCCCATGGCCTGGCCCAGGGGTTGGCAACCAAAATAACAAGAAGAGCCATTTTTTTGCGAATTCTGTAAATAACTCAATATTTTAAGAGCCGCAATGCGATGTGAATAATGTCAAGAAGCAGTCCTTAAAGAGCCGCATGCGACTTCGGAGCCGCAGGTTTGTGACCCCTGGCCTAGCCCTAAATAGGCTCTGCTGCATCCTGCTGTGGCCCCGCAGCTCACGAGATGCCTTTGTCCGTGGAAGGTGCGCACCACTGCGGCGTTGGGGGGGGGGATGGTGCGGAGCCATGGTGGTACTGAGTGGGATCGCACATAAGAGGCTGACCACTCTGCCCTTTGTTGTTGTTATTGTTGCTGTTGCAGGATTACCCCAAGCATCGGCACCCAGGCTGGAACCGGGGCTCCATAGCTTACCACGCAGGTACGCAGACACACACACACGGCGTGACACACGCTCCCGGCGCAATCGACTCGCAGCACGCTGTGCTCACAATTGCAAATGCACCGTTGCCGAGCATGGTGGCGGTTACACACCTGCAGTCGTGAAGTGTGTACAACATTCACGAATCGCGGTGGCGAATTGTTTCTAGATGTAGTATGGTGAGTCGGTTTCTGACCTGTTTATACAAAAGATTTGAGTGTTTTTGCCTCTCAGTTGAATGGGGGGATTGGTATCTCCACATATTCATTTTCATATCCACAAGCAAATTTGTTCTTTGAAGCAATTACCCAAACACCTTAAGCAGGATTCTTGTGAACATTTATTGACACTGCGTGAGGCTTACCTGCGTGAACAAAAATGAGCCTGACATTGTAAATAGGCATTGTGTTCCAGTGTTATACAGTACACTCACTGAATCTCTTTGATGTTGGACACAGCATGCAGTTGTTGAAGCATGTAGCGCTTTGTATATGCGCAAGCTACGGAGACACGTACACTGGAATTGCACAATTTACTCCATCTATCTTTAAGTTGACATTTTGGAGAAGAACACATGATCACAGATGCTTGAAAGTTATAACGTAAAAATGTGCCATGGAAATTACGAGTCGTAAGTGGGTACATAACGAAAAATCTAGGAAGTTGGCTTGAAGGGCCATTTCACTTTCCCTAAGATGTTTGTTTCCACATCACAGTATAATATTACTTACGTTTCTTTTCTGCACTGACATAAATAATATTGAGAGTCCGATTAGCCAAACATCATTGACGCCGTCACTTTATAGCTAACAATATTAACATCGAACATTACTATTTATGATTCTCCAGCAAATGCAATCCTTGCGACTAATGAAGTTCTACCATCGGAAAAAAAAACCAGACGTGTACACTCATCTTCCTTACCTCAGTTACTGTCCTTAACAACCAATTGTTGAGACCCCTAACCATCTGCGCTCTTTAAATGTGCCCTTTAAAAGCCGCCTTCGCGCACATACGGCCCCAGTGGGCTGTCCCTCCACATAGTCCCCAGTGATAAGGCAGGAGACGACGGGATGGCAGACGACGGTGCAGCCAGGGGAACTGACAAGGAGGTGGCTGCACGTGTCTGAGTTGCCCGGACCGCTGCATTCCCTTCTCGAAAGTGGCCAACGAGGCAGACGGAGTTTATTAATGGGCCGCTCGGCCTAATGTGGAAAAGTTAACGAGGTGGTCTGTGGCCCTCTTCCCAGCCGTGGCTGTTTGTTTGTGAATGGCTGCTGTTTATGGAAATGTGGAAAGCGAGTGGTTTTTGTTGCGGAGAAAGAGAGGAGGGAGGTGGTCGGCACAATCCACTGGGAACTGGTCTGCGGAGAGAGGCTGTCGTATCTGTGCTCCTTGTTAAATCCTAATGCTGTTTAGAAAAATGTCTCCAGTTCTCGGTTTTTTTTGTTGTTTACAAAATGCTTGGCGGCCATGTAGAAACGTGGCTATTTCAGGCTGCTGTTATGGTTAATGAGCACTGGTCAAGGTTAGTTAGACTTTGTTTGAAGTTTTGTCGCAGCGTAATTTATTCTCGTTTTGGCTATGTAAATGTTAAGTTTGTATAGTTGCTCAGTAATTACATTGAGTGTAATTAATTTGTGTCGGGATGACAGCGTGCCTTCGCAAACAAACGTACCAGAATATATATCTCCCCCCCCCCCCCCAACAGAGATAGCTGAATTGTACGCTGCCTGCTTGATTCGTACAGAAAGTTTAGTAGTGCGTGCATCAGTCAGAAGGGAACTCTTTTATGTCCATAAGAAGACGGGAAGATAGAGACCACATTCTGTCTTTTTCACAAGATTATTTCATATTCTTTACTGAAAGAACCAAAGAATATGAATTCCTGCAGTCACGAAAGTTTAAAGTCAAAAATTTAAGATTATTTCAGCGGAAATGTTCAGTTTTGCCTCTTCATTTTGGACAAAATGTGTTTGTATGTATGTTGAACTTTTTTCGCACCGTACTTAGCCAACCGTGCTAATCGGAGGTGCAGTGAAATACTTTTCAACTTGATTTTAATCCAAAAAGCAACGCTTTAAAATCTACAAATATACGCAGTGTACATTTTACGCATCCTGTCTCTTTCGCAATGTATTCATCCCACTCGGCGGCACCATAAGCATCAGCCAGCAGCACATTATTCACTCCGACTCGTTGCTGGCGATTGAGATTCCTCTGTGAAGGTCGCCACATCCTCGTTTGTCTCAGCTCCACTGCACCCAAGCAAGCCATGTTTCAGCTCAACCTGAGTCCAATCCCCTGCTCAGCCGACCAAGGCACCCTTTGTGGGGAGGGTACCGTCTCTGCTGATAACAGGGTCTATTGTTCATGTCATAGTCTCGCCTTTAAAAAGAATAATCCCGAAAGGACAAGGCCGCTTAGTAATGTCCTTCGTTTTTTGCACGACTCTCTGCCACGTTCCAGCCACTGGCATAGCGAGTCATCGAAATGGCCTTGCCTATTGCCCCACTGACTCTGCGCACTGGGTGGGCCCTTTGGCCTTCACGAGCCCTTGTCCTTTCGTAAAATACACTTCGTTTTATAGATTTGTTTTCGTATATTTACAACAACAAAAATCGGTTTAGTTTATTTTCAATTACCTTGACTCTGGGAGAAACACCTTAATGTTTTATCTTGCCCGTAATTTAGTTTCTCTTCCACCCCCCCCCCCCCCCCCCGCTGTAATTTGTTGCGTCAACATTGGTGTTTCAGTGCTCGTAGTTCACAGGCTCCCCTCGCGGGTGTCCCTCTCGAACCTTCTACCCGACGTGCACGAGCGAGTGAGGAGGCCGTTTGAGTCTTGACGGGCAGACACTTGCCTGCGTTTACCACACGCACAAACCTCGCAATCGAGCAGAGATGCCTTCTAGCCTTTGTGGGTTCAACTGCAGCTTGGCAATAGTTGAGAATGATTATGATATCACGGTGTTCCCACTACACGTGTAAGTAGCAAAATGGTGCAATCCATCACATTAGGAACCATTAGGGCACCACCGTTAAAATAATGTATGCAGTCTCCTCTTCCATTAAAGTTTTCATGAAAGCACCTTTTTTACTCCAAAGAAAGGCCATTGCCTGAAACACGAGCTAATGATACATATATATGTTTCAGTTTGTTAATGAGGGTAGTTAAGTTTTATTTTTGTTTCTTAAATGTATACAGCTTATCGAATGTGGCATTACATCATTTATGCAGTGTATATATACATATTGTATTTCCTTGAAATGCAATGTAAATCGTTTGCAATAAATCCCATTTGAGTTTGTTATTAAGCAGTATAAACATTGCATTTGTCAGGGCTTAATTTCTGGGAAACTATGTTCCGGTGTATGAAGCTGGTGTGGGGAGGAGGGGGGAGGTGGGAAGTGGGCCTTGAGCCCTGGGGGCTGGGAGAGGTGTGGGAGGAGATGGGCTCAGCCGAGAATGGGGCTAAGATGCTCTGAGCCTCATCTGTGGGAAAATATTGGTCGTTTATGTGTTTACCTTATTGACATAAACACGCAACAACGAAAAAGTCCCTCCCGCCCCCCTATAGCCTTAACAGACTGTTGGGGAAAGTGCTGTTATCGAGCACCCATTAAGGCCGACATGGAAACACAAGGGGGTGGGTGACCAGCACCACGCCCGGCCACCTTTGTCTCCGTAAGTGGCGATGTTTACACACCGCGCCAGGTACTCATTTGAGGCTGAGTCGACCTCGGGGGAGGCCGAGGACCGGTTCAGATAATCGTCACTTGGTGTTGGCCGTGAGCGGGAACAAAACTCGGGTCGCTGGGTTCATAGCGCAGAGCGCTAACCACTAGACCACCACTCCCCACTAAACACACAACAAAGACAACACCACACACGCACAGTGGGTTTATAAGGGTGTGGTGGGGCATGCCTCTAATCCAGCAACTTGGAGGGCAGGTTTGGTGGAGTGGGCTACGGTAAGCCTGAGACTCTGGGCAGCAGTGAAGTGATAACTGTAGATGCAGTACAGAAAGTAGATTTCAGACTCGTCTTTACCTAATTTGAGTGTTCCATGTAGGATTTTGTTTTCTCTAGGTGCTCTTGTTTCCGCTTACTCATAAAAACATCTATATTTTAGTTGTATTTTTTAATATCTCTAGCAGGACTCGTTACGATTGTCTTCATACTCGGGCATTTCTATGTAAATAATTCAGTTTATAAGCGTTAATGTACCCTGCATGCTGTCCTTATATTACTTCAAGGCCCCCATCTGTCAATATGCATGTCGGCTAATCTTCTTCGCGAGCCAGATGTGTTGAAAGAGCAGTTCCCCCATCCAAGCAAAATGTGATAAGGTGGGGAGTTGAAGGTGGCTAGGCGTGGCATTAGCCCTCCCAGCTCATAATAGGCGCTCATTCACGGCACTTATCCCAATGCTCTAACCCAACGAACAAAAGGATCTTTGTGTTCACGCATGTGGGTGGGTGTGTTGTGGGTGTGTTTTGAATTGTGTTTTGCATGATATGGTGGCTTGGTACCACTGCATTACATTATCAACTACGTATGCTCCATTCCTTGCTTCGAACATCATCGCCAAATGCTGTGTTTACTTTGTGCGGTCATCTCCTATACGGATCACTTACCTGGTGCGGTGTACGGCTTACCTGCGGTGGGAACGCTGACCTGCCACCCACCAATGCGCTGACCTGGCCATAACATTTGCTTAAATAAACCACGTGGGTATGTAAGCTCAGTGTCACCTGAAAGCCAGGCCAACGAGGTGGGACCTCTAAGTGACTCTTAAAACCTGGTGTAGATTGAACGTTGCTGCTGCTGCGAATGTGCAACAGTGCGACGACGATGATGACGATGGGTTCCAGATGACGGGGTCTGCCACGAAGAAACAACGCCCGACAGTGACGGCAGTCTTGGTCCTTGGTGTAGAGAGAGGAGGTTGTGAGTGCCAATGATTGCCGAGAGTTCTGCCGTGGGCTGCATGAGT